TATATAGCCACATCCCTTCCCGAAGGTAGAGAAATCTTGGCCAAATTGGCCTGGCGGACGTCCCATCACCTCAACGTCCCACCCCTCGTGTCTCTCCCATTTGGCATACTCCATCTCCACGGCGGGATAGAAGGAGAGTCCGACAAGAACCGGTTGACAGGACCTTGCTCACTTACCTATTGTTTTGATAGTCCTTAGTCCTGATCCACAGTTTATTATGACTGAGACAAGAACCGGGATACAGGGATTTTGCTCATATGTTTCTCTTACGTTTTCAGGATGTGCATTTTTGTGGTCACTGCTGCGATATTTCTGTTTCTGAGACCTATGTATGCTTTCTCATTGATAGCTGGATATGTTAGGGCTTAACAAGGGTCTTCGGACCCTCTTAATTCCGCCCAGTAATTTATGGTTTCGAAACTCTTGAACACGTTACCCCACCCTGCCGCCTGACGTGGCCGGAGGTGTTGCCGCCCAATTGTGGGGTGGCAGCTTCGTTTTCCACATCTTACAGAGACAGGGTTTGGGCCCATTTGGCCCCTTGATGTTTGAACTTTTTGTTTTTTCGGGTATGGCAAATTGCTACCTGATCCATTTCAGTTACCCTCTTAATTGCAGGAGCTATTAAAGCTTCACTTCTATTGTTTTTTCTCTTTCCAAAGCTTTAGTGCATGATGTTGGTTTTGGGATGGTTTGTGGACGTCACGACCCCCATAGTGGGGTCTGGATGTCCCCTAGGCTGGTACTACTGCCTGTAAACCTGTCTGATATGGACTTGCGGGTCCTTAAATCTAGCCAAATAATTCTAGGAGATGTCCTTTCAATGTGTATCTTTATGCTGATAGCTACAACTTTTGTATACTATGATAATACAATGTATTTTGCATAATGTCCAGGGTTTCAATTCGCCAAATAAGCGCAAAACAGCCTTTCTTCAATATAAGCGATTATGGGCTAAAATAATTTTTTTTACAGGAAACACATTTTGCAGCTGCAAAACACCCGACATATTTTCATAAATCATAGGCAGGGGTATTATACTTTACATTCCTCCAAGAGTAGAGAAGTAGCCATCTTTCTACATAATTCATTCCCCTTTGAGGTTCAACATGTGTATCGTGATCCGGACAGTAGGTTTATCATTCTTAAAGGCACCCTTTCAGGTCGAGAACTCACTATTGCAAATATCTATGCACCGAATTCGGCACAAGCTTCCTTTTTTTTTTAATTTTTTGATGTTCTGGATAGGTTCCTGTCCCCCCATCTATTGGTGGGTGGTGATTTTAACCTGGTAGCAAACCCTCTTTTGGACCGAAGCTCCTCCTCGCACTCTTCCCAGGCTTTCCCAAAATCCCTTACTAAGAAACTAGATGCCCTCCAGTTGGTGGACGCCTGGAGGGCACACAATGCGGGAGCCAGGGATTGCTCATTTTATTCTCACCCACATGACTCTTATGCCAGATTAGACTATATCTATTGTACCCCTATTTTACTAGCTAATTCTAGGACAGCTTGCATTCACTTGAGCCCCTGGTCGGATCATAATATTATGGCCTTATCTATCACATTTATGGGATTGGCACCTACCCCCTTCTCTTGGAGACTTAATGACTCTATGCTTACTAATATTGACTCTCGCCAAGAGGTGGTTACATCTATTCAGGAATATTTTCAGTCTAACTCGACCCGATATATCTTCAGCCACATTATGGGTAGCCCATAAGGCGGTCCTACGTGACCGCCTTATTTCCATGGCCTCATCCAGAAATAGAAAACGATGGCAGCAAATACTACTTCTTACCCGAGAATTAGAAGCACATTATAGAAGTCATATTGCTAACCCATCTCTTCTAAATAAACAGTTATTGTCCCAAAAGCGTTTAGAATTGAATACTTTGCTTTCCCAAAAGACTGAAAAAGCTCTCTGCTGGTCGAAGGCCTCGTTCTTGTTACATAGCAACTCAGCATCCACTATGTTTGCAAGGAAATTGAACCACTCTCTACGCCCCCCACATGTTCATAAGTTACGCACTAACTCGGGCGCTATCTCATCTCTACCTCAGGAAGTTTTGGGTATTTTTGAAAACTTTTATTCTAACCTATTAGCTCCTCCGCAGTCAGATTCTGTTCTTTCATCCGACTCATGGCTGGATTCTATACCGCTTCCTGCTCCTACACCTGTCCAGGTTGCCTCTCAATGCCCCCTGTACTTTGGAGGAAGTAACTTGTGCGTTTAGCGCGCTAAAAAGTTCTACTGCACCGGGTCCTGATGGATTCACCGCTGGCTATTATAAACATTTTGCCTCTACGTTGGCTCCCTATTTGATAACTTTATTTAATGATGTTTTGCAGGGGGGTAAGTTCCCTGATGAGATGCTATTGGCTAACATGTATTTAATACCCAAACCACAGAAAGACCACTGTTTGCCACAAAACTATAGACCAATCTCAGTAATGAATAACGATCTAAAAATATTTAGCCGTATTTTGGCGGACAGGTTGGCCCCTATTATCTCTTCTTTGGTCTCTCCGGACCAGTCGGGTTTTATTCATGACAGATTCATTACCGATAACATTCGCCTCACACTAAATGTTATTCACACTAAACGCCAATTTACATTCTAAAGAGGTTCTGATGAGTCTAGACATAAACAAGGCCTTTGACAGTGTTCTTTGGCACTATTTATTTTCCTTGCTACAGAAACTGGGCTTCAGTGATGGGTTTTTGGCTGGTATACACGCCCTATACGACTCTCCTAAAATGAGAATAAGGCTTCCTGTAATTCTGACTTTTTTACACTGGGTAGAGGTACCCGTCAGGGCTGTTCTCTTTCACCCCTCTTGTTGGCGCTGGTGTTGGCACCTTTGGCAGTAGCGATCAGATCACATCCGGATATTTCTGGCTACCCATTATTAGTTTCACATTTCAAAATAAGCATGTATGCGGATGATGTTATGCTTTTTCTCACTAACCAGTAACGTCATTGCCTAATTTATGTGCCGTATTGAATGATTTTGCTATAGCGTCAGGTCTTACTGTTAATTATACCAAATCAGTGATTATGCCTGTTAATGTTCCTGATTCCCTAAGTGCATCTCTCCGTAGTTCTTTTCCATTTCGTTGGGTCATGGATCGGATATCCTGTTTAGGTATTAATCTCACTCCCAGATACTCGGATATGTTTACTGCTAATTATCCACCATGTGTATCACGTCTCTCTACTCTATTGAAGATTTGGCATGGTTACTCTATTTCCTTTCTGGGTAGAGTCACGGCGGCAAAAATGAATATTTTGCCTAAACTATATCTTTTTAGAGCACTTCCAATTCCGGTCTCGAAAACGTTTTTGGACCACTTTCAACGGACTATTAACAATTTTATCTGGGGTAATAAGTGTCCACGTTTTGCTTCATCCATTTTGTACTACTCGCAACGGACGGGAAGTCTCGGTCTTCCCAATTTTTGGCAATATTACCTCTCGGCTCGTTTTACGCAACTATCACAATGGGCAACTATTAACTCTCAGACCCCATGGATCAAGTTTGAATCTCAGTCTATACGCCCATTCTATTTACCGGGTATTTTGTGGTCCAAGATCTCCCCTCAATCGCTTACTTTCCATAACTCCATAGTGACCCATTCACTGACACTTTGGTCCAAATATAAATTTAAATTGAATCTAGTCTCTCGTATTCCCCCAGGTGTCTCATTTTTTGCTGACCCTACTTTTTGTTGCAGCTTTTTCTTCCCCTCAAACGTTTCGCTGGTGGTATGACCGTTCCTTTATCAGATTATCTGATTTCCAAAGAGGAGGATCTTATATTACCTTCGATATGCTGCACGTGTTTTTTGATGTTCCTCTTTGTGAATACCATCGTTACTGACAGATTAAACACTTTTTTAAATCACATTTTGGCCTTATACCATCCTCTCCGATTTCCTTTTTTGAAAGTATCAGCCGTGACTCTCCCAGGGATAGGGGTCTTATTTCTGATCTTTATCGACAATCTTTGATCTGTCTTTTTCAAACACCCCCTTTATACAGACAAAAATGGGAGGAGGATAGTGGTATCACTTTTTTGGATGAGGATTGGGATTCCATGGTGGATAACATATGTAAGTGTTCTAGATCTCTTTCTGTTTGTGAGACGACCCTTAAGGTTTTAACCAGATGGTATTATACCCCATCAAGACTACATGTATTGTTTCCACAAACGTCCCCTTTATGTTTCCGGGGCTGTGGCCTCACAGGTACTTTGGTTCATATATTTTGGGATTGCCCAACCATATCTTTGATTTGGTGCAAGATATCTGAGGTAGCTACCTCACTGGCGGGTACCCCGGTACGATTGTCCATACAGACCTGTCTATTGGGGGCTCATATCCCGGGGGGTCTCTGATGCCATTATGAGATTGATACATACTATATGTATTGCCACTTTATGGTCTATTGCCTTACATTGGAGGTCCAATGCTGTACCCTTGGCCTCCGTTTTACACAGAATTGATGCTGTAATGCTCATGGAACGCATTCATTATACCCTACTGGATAAGATGCACTTATTTGATAAAAAATGGGAGTCATGGAGGGACATTTATTGCATAATTGACAACATTCCCAGTGAAAGCTGACTGGCATATACTGTTGACAGATGTATAATTTAACCTACCTTATCATTTACATATTTCATGTACTTGCAATCTACTCTTTTCTATTTCTTCTCTTTCTTACATTAATATACTTTTCTGTATTGTACTTTTTAAAAGTGCCTTGTTTTTGCTGTAAGTATTATTTGAAAATGTACTGTTGTTTTTACAGTCTACTCTTATGCAATAAAATTGTTTGTAAACAAAAAAATTAGACGCTTTGGAAACACTATCAAATTAGTTTGCAAGGCTTTAGCATGTATAAAGTATTTATTTTATACAGTATGTAATGCTAGAGTCATTTATCCATGAGTAGAATTAAGGATAAAATAAGGAGAGAACAACCCCCTACCTGTACAATGGCACTAAGCTGCTTCTCTGCCAGCGTCCGGGCTGTTGATCTTGGCATATTCCCTTCCAAATGTATATTCTGCATAGCTTTAATAAACTGTGGGAAACCAGACTGGGGGGTTGTTGGAGAAGGACTAATGTCCACCGATACCAAGCGCTCCACTAATTGTGGCTGAGGCATAGAAAAGAATAGAAACAATGATTAGACATGCATATAATTTCATAACTACCAACAGCCCTACAGGCTGGTAAAGAAAAAAAAAAAGAAAAAAAAAAGTACATTCTGGAGAGTGGCTGAAGAGCAGAACAAACTCTTAATGCCTCTAGCATTTCAGTGTTTTTGTTTTCCTGTGGCCAGAATAAATTAATATTCTGTGCAATAGAATTCATTAAAGCTCAAATGCTTGACTAGTCTAAAATGTGTGTGCTGTACATGGCTTTTACAGTGTTAAGCAGTTTTTCTCTTGCTAGGAGTTCTGGCATTCAGAGAGGCTAAAAAACAGACGCTCTGTTTGCATGAGGCCTGATACTTGCAAGTGTTTTTTTCATCAGAACAATGGCACCCTCTTTGTTTAGACATCATCCAAAGTTTAACATCTACTTCCTAGACTAAATTCCTCCTAAATGTCATTTAAATTCACATGCTTGTGTAGCATTATTTCTGGTTTGATGCAGCATTTTCTCCCCAAAATGTGCTGTAGCCCTTCTTCTACTTAGCTGTGAGTTAAAATAAATATAACTCTGGATAACACTTAGTTTGCTAAAGCACTGTGTATTGAACAATTGGCATGCATTTTCATAAAACACAGTTTTCACCATTTTTCCATCTCAGTCCTAGGATCTCTTCCAGCTATTTCCTGTCTACATGTACTCATTCCAGTATCTGTTGCACATCATTGCTCTGGACCAGCTTCCTGATATTGACAACAGTGGACCATGTCCACGCAATGTGTGTTAGCATGGCTGCTTGTACTCTCCACCTACAGCAAATGTGACATAGTAGTAATGTAGATGTACAACTGGAAAACAACTGTCACGCTATAACAGGAATTGCCTGAACAAATACATTCATAGCAGAATCACCAGGTATTTTAATAAAAGCTGCATAATTAAAGTAGCTGAACTAATAATGAGATAACATTAACTTGTTAAAGCTTATATGACATTTTAGTGATTGGGTTTAGATCAATTTTAACATTTGCCTATATGACTACGAAAATACAGTATGAAACTACTGCCAGTTCATTCCGAAGGGGTATTCTTCTTTATGGGGTAAATATATACACTAAATAGTGCCAACAGACTTATGTTTAAAAAAAGTCAATTGCAGCACATCATCGCTCTCCATTCCTCTACACACCACAGCAGTAATGTGAGAAAGAAGGCTCCTGTTATGTAATTTCAGTAGACCAACAATAACATGGCAATCATAGGATCTTAAAAGGGAAACTATAATGGTTTTAGGTCAAATGCTATACTTTCACAGTTTTATTTCTGTTAAAAATTTCTGTTCTGAAAAATTACATTTACACACACAGCGGTACAGTACAGAGGGGAGGTGGTGTAATGTGGAATTGTCACTATTCTGACTCGTTTTAGTTGGGGTTATTGAGCTTTGTAAAGCTATTTTTTGGTCCTGATCATAATACATAAAAAATATTCACAGAATCATTATATACTTTAATCATATACAGACATGTGACATTCAAGAATCCCATAATGTACTTTTAGTACAGTTTCCTTTTCATGCAGGCCCCTTCCTTCTCAGCTAATCCTCCTTGCTATGAGAGGTGGGGAATGCATGTAAAGTGGAGTTCCAGATGTTTTTGTGTTTATTAAAAGTCATCAGCTACAAAAATCTGTAGCTGCTGACTATTAATAAACACAAGACTTACCTGTCCCAGAGTCCTACGATTTACTCACCTGTGCCGTCCCTTCTCTCCAAGGTGCCAGCATCTCAACTGTGGGCACCAGACTTTGACAGCTTGCGCCTTCACAGACAGGTGCCCACTGTGCATATACGAGTCACACTGTACATCCAGATTGGTCCAGCAGTCTTCTGGGACCTGTGAAAATTCCTAGGAGACTGCGGGAGGAAGGAGGGGGCCGAACGTCCGGCACAGTTCGCTGCAGCGAACTGAGCCAGAAGTTGGGAGTGGGTACCCACTCCCCACAAAAGGTGCCAAATAAGGCAGTGGGGGGGGGGGGGGGGGGCGAAGGAGGCAGACCAGTGGAGCTTGCACTTTTGGGTTGAACTGCGCTTTAAAGAATAATTGTACTAAAAGTAAAAAGGTATACCTTAGCCTCAAACATTAAAGTGGTTGTAAAGGCTCAAGTTTTTTTTTTTTAACCTTCCACCTAATACTTACCTGAGCCCCACTGTTATCCAGCTATGTGTACAAAAGCCTCGGCTCTCCGGGACTCTCCCTCTTCATTGGCTGAGACATAAGCGGGAGCCATTGGCCATCAATCACAGCCAGTGAGCCAATGAGGAGAGAGAGGGTGGGGTCGAGCCACAGCTCTGGGTGTTAATGGACATGCAGAGCAGCGGCTCAGGAGTGAGTCTGCTTGGGTACTCCCATAGCAAGCTTCTTGGTATGGGGGCACTAGGCAGGACGGATGGGCCTGGAGAACCAGCAGGGGACCTGAAAGAGGAGGATTGGGGCTGCTCTGTGTTTTTTTTTTTTTTTAAATGCCTTTAAGTGTAAAGTATTCATTTACTGTAAAGAAATGAGTGCAATAAATTATTAGTTCTTGTTAGTCATGTCTTTTGAAGAATTTGAAATGCTTGTTTAACCACTTCAAGTCCAGACACTTTCACCCCTTTCCAATCCAGGCCAATATTCAGCTTTCAGCGCTATCATACTTTGAATGACAATTGTGCAGTCATGCACACTGTTCCCAAATGAAATGTTTAGCATTTTTTGAGACAGATAAAACTTACTTTTGGTGGTATTTATTCACCACTGGAATTTTTATTTTCTTGCTATATAAATGAAAAAGAAGAAAAAGTTTTTCTTATAAAATGTTGCAAATATATAATCTTTCTTCATAAACCTTGGCCAAAATGTATTCAGCTAAAAAAAAAAAAATAAAAAAAATAACCCAAATAAGTTTATAAAAAAAAATAAATAAAATTAAATAACCTTTCAAATTTTTTTTTACATTTTTATTTATTTTTGATATTATTTATTGATTTTTATTTTAACATACTGTCACCCTAGCAGTACAGTGTCACCTTAGTGACTCTGTACTACTTGTGGGGGGTTATAAAGATTTTTTTTTTTTTTCTCCTTCTCTCTGACTGCATTCCTGCAGCCACTGAGGACTACTGTGAGAGCTGTGATTAGTCACAGCTTGTCACATGGTACAAGGCTGTTGTGAATAGCCTTGTAGGATGTGACCTCTGTGATCATTCACAGATTTCACAAGTAGTAAACAATTATGTCAGGAAGTGACATCTTGTTTACTACTGTTCATGTGATTACTGATTGGCCAACCACTGATCACATGAATTGGGACCTCACACAGAAGTCCCGTACATTGATCCGCGTTCAGCGTGGGCACAGATCAAGGCACTGCGCGCTCCCAGGGAGCGCACACAGGCAATGGATGTGGGGGGATGTTTAGAAAGTTGTTTGTTGAATAAAGTCATTATGACTGAACTCCTAAGGTAACTTAAACCAAACATAAACCACGGAACTAGATGCAAACTTTAAATATAGCTGTTTGAAGTAGCTTTATTGCAAAGAAAGGATCAAAGTCATTGTAGAAATAAAGCAGAGCACCAATTATCAAAGTATGCAATTTATGTAATTTATTATTACTAGCAATACCCTAGAATCTACAGACATGACAATAATGGCAAATCACAGCTTACTTCTTGCAGTGCCAAGGTCATGGCGGTCTTTCCTCCCATGCTATGACCTATTAAGACACAGCTAGGTATGTCAAGTTGCTGCAGGAGCTGCCGCACATCAGCACTCATTGCGTGGTATGTGATGTCGTCACTGTGAGGACTACTACCATGATTACGTGCATCTAATGCCAAAACCTGAAAGACATAATAGACATCACACTAACATGAGTACCATAAAGCATGTGCAAACAGGATAAACAGTATGTACATATGGACGTATGTACTCTTACTGTCAATACTGTCATTATTTCCTAACACCCACCAATAAAATTTATTCATGTGCTGCAAAGTAACCAACTGGAATCAAAACTCTGAATCGGATTGCCAGTTACCAGTTCTTAGATGTGATGCCTGCATTAGTTTTCCTTTTTTAGGCTCTCTTTTATTTTAATCTGGTGATCCGTCAGTAAGTCTGTTGTTTTTTAAAAGAACAAGCTCTCTTCCAGATGTATCAGTTTACGGGGATGAGGCAAACCATTTAACACTGATAGGGTTGCTTATAATGAGCAGCATTATGTAAAACCTTTATCCGAAAAGGAAAAAAAACTCTTCATGTAACTCATTAGAAATGAGCTGGATTTTGGCTTTAGTTTGTTAGTGTATCTAAATCTGCTAACACTCCCCTCTTCCCAGATTAACAATGCTGCTGTCCAAAATGTGTCTCTGTTGCTCCTTCAGCCAGAGTGGGGGCACTGAAATACAGCAGGTGTGTTACTGGACAGATCATAAGGTGAAAACACAGTAAAAAAAAAATAAAATGAATGCAGTCACAACATCTAATGATTGGTAAGCTGCAATATAACACGTTTGGCTTTGGGTTTACCACTGTTTTAACAATGACCTTTTCTTATTAGCTCATTTATAACCGGTTACATATACCATTGAAAGTATTTTGGTATCTGCTTGAGAAGTTAAAAAAATAAATAAATAAATAAAATACTGTTGATACTGACAGAAATACAGTGCTGTCCTGTGGACTGTGCAATGTGGTCTCAAGCAGTCTTATCATACCTAAAGAACACCTCCCCCTGTGTTATGGAGATGAGAAGTGGAGAGATTCTGTTCTGTAGCGATCTCCTAGGTTGAGAACACTGCTCCTCCAACTGCATTTGTTTAAACAGGAAACATGGCGCTTGAGCCCCCTTCAAAATGGGCCCTAATATGTCAAACTGATAACTTACATTTCTTTATCTAGTTTTCCCTAAGATTTCTGCCTGCAAAAATGTAAAACATTCTGTAGGTTCAAAAAAACACCACACTTTCAGCTACAACTAACAACCCTCTAATACTATAAGGAGGAGTACAACTGGGGGAGTCAATGGTGGAGAAGGATCTGGGTGTTCTGGTAGATCATATACTGTATAATAGTATGAAATGCCAAGGTGTAGTTTTTAAAGCAAGCAAAAGCCTTTCTCCAGAGAGAGATCTGATGCATCATTCTGCCCCTGTACAAATCATTAGTAAGACCTCATCTGGAATTTCAGTTTTGGGCACCAATTCAAAAAATTGGTATTGGAAAATTAGAGAAAGTGCAGAGAAGGTCAACCAAACTGATAAGCTGCATGGAGGAGCTCAGCTATGAGGGAAGATTAGCTGACTTGAACTTATGCAGGCCATAGGCGGGGAGAAAACCGGACAGTTTTTTAACAAAAAAACGAAAAATCGGTCGTTCAATAGGCCGAAGTTACCAGCAACAGTAACGGCCGATTTTCTTCCCGTCTAAGGCCGGCATTTAATTACTTCTGTCCCTGTAGAGAGCCCCGCTATTATATTTGACATTAAAAAGTATTGCGGTTGCAACATTGTATCTATTTGTATCCATTTCGGATACAGATGGGTTTTTTTTTTTTTTGGATACAAATAGATACATTGTTGCAACCGCAATACTTTTTAATGTCAAATATAATAGCGGACTGGAATTCTTCTTCTCTCTTCTTCTTCTTTTTCTTCTTGGTCACGGCTCATGTGCAGATTTTTTAAGCGGTAAAAAGATCGGCCGATTTGCCCATCATTGCCGCGAAAATCGTCCGATCGGCAAAATCAGACGATTTTTTTCCAACTTTACCGAACAAAAAAAAAAAAAATTGGACAAAATCCAGAAAAACGGCTGACCAATTAACCCATTAACCCAAAATCAGCCGATTTTTTTTCCGGCCCAAAAAAAAAAAAAAAAAAAAAAAAAAAAAAAAAAAAAAAAAAAATCGGCCAATTTTCGACCCATCTATGGCCTGCATTATTCTCTCTTGAGAAAAGGAGATTGAAAAGGAAGAATATGATCACCATGTATTAAAAATACAAGTGGCCTATAAAGTGAACTAGTGCAGTAGAATTATTTATTTTAAAGTCATTGCAGAGGACAAGGAGCACTCTATACTGTGGGTATAGAAAAGAATCTCCCCCCTTTAAAAAAAAAAAAAAAAGAATCACATTTTGTTGCTTTGCAGCCTGAAATGAAGACAGTTTTTTTGCAGCCATCTTATAACATCCAAGTGAAAAATAGAACACCAACATTAAAATGTTTTATTTTTTTCATTAAAAAACAGAATCACTGAGTTGGAAAAAAGGATGAACCCCTCCCCCCCCTTAAAAATTACTTGTAAACACAATCAGGTGCAGCTAAGCACCTCCCCAGTGGCACAAAAAGGTATTTGGCTCTCAACTGTGGTCATTTAGTGCAAATGAAGCAAACATTCAACTATGGGTGGCAAGACACTGTCAAAAATTCTCCAGGAAGTTGTGGACAGGCAGGAGATGGATACAAAAAAGAAAAAAAAAAAAAAAATCAAAAAGACTTTGTCAATGCCTAGAAGCACAGTGAAGTCTATTATTATTTCCTTCCTACCTCACGTCCAATTACTATCAAGATCATGCAGGCTCCACCTCCGCAACATCTCCAAGATACGTACATTCCTCACCCCAGACACCACCAAACAACTCGTACACTCCCTCATCATCTCACGCCTGGACTACTGCAACTCCCTTCTCACTGGCCTACCCAAACAAACGCTATCCCCGCTCCAGTCTATTCTGAACTCAGCGGCAAGACTCATCCACCTCACCAACCGCTCCACATCTGCCTCCCCCCTCTGCCAATCCCTTCACTGGCTCCCCATTGCCCAGCGCATCAAATTCAAACTGCTAACTCTGACCTACAAAGCCATTCACAACGCCGCCCCAAAATACCTAACCGACCTGATACCCAAATACTACCCTACTCGTGCCCTTCACTCCTCACAGGACCTCCTACTCTCTAGCTCCCTGATCTCCTCCTCCCACGCCCGATTGCAGGATTTCTCCAGGACTTCCCCCATCCTCTGGAACTCCCTACCCCAATCCAACAGACTGTCACCTACCCTCCTCACCTTCAGGCGCACCCTGAAAACCCACCTCTTCAGGGAAGCCTACCCCACCTTCACCTAACAACTGACCTCCTCCACTTCTCCCACCACTCCATCCCCCACAGCCATTTCCTCCTGTACCCCTTTCCCCTCCCTCCTAGATTGTAAGCTCGAAAGAGCAGGGCCCTCGAAACCTTCGTGTATTGTATTGTTTCTGTCTTGTCTCATGTTCTGTCCCCCTCGCTATTGTACAGCACTGAGCAAACCCTTTGGCGCTATATAAATACTGTATAATAATAATAATAATTATTGACCACTTGCCCTCCAGAAATGTACCCCCCCCCCTTCCTGACCAGGCTATTTTTTGTGATACGGTGCTGCTGTACACAAATGAAATGTATGTCCTTTTGTCCCCCACAAGTAGTGCTTTCCTTTGGTGGTATTTGATCACCCCTGCGGTAAAGACTTACAATTTAAAAAAAAAAATAATTTATAGATTTTTTATTTTCTGCTAAAAAACATCCAAAAAAAAAAAAAAAAAAAAAATTACATTTCTTCATAAATTTAGGCCAAAATGTATTCTGCTACAAATTTTTGTTAAAAAAAATCCCAATAGGTATATATTGATTAGTTTGCGCAAAAGTTATAGCGTCTGCAAACTATGGTACATATACTGGAATTTTTAAAGTTTTTACTAGTAATGGCCGCAATCACCGACATATAGCAGGACTGTGATATTGCGGCGGACATTTTTACACTAACTGACACTTTGTGGGAACCAGTGACACTAATACAGTGAAAAATATACACTAATTAACTGTACGAATGACACTGGTTGGTAAGGGGTTAACATCTAGGGTGATCAAAGGGTTAAGTGTGGGCCTAACTATGTGCTTGTTGTACACTAGGAGGTGCTTTTTCCAGGGGAAGTGATAGATTGTGTTCTCAGCTCTGTAGAGATACAATCCATGACTCCCCCCTGTCACAACAGGGCTGTGCCTATGTAAAAATAGACAAAGCTCTGTTCTTCCTCCCTGACTAATGGTCTGCATGTGCTGGCGAGCAACTGCTCACCGGGACTTGTAGATCAGTTTGTGCTGTGACATCTCACAACAGAAGTGATCCTCCAGCATACGCGAGCCCCCGTGTGGTGGAAGTGCAAAATCACGAATATATACATGATTTTGCACAGGAATGCCGCCCTATAGCAGTAAAACTGTTAGACACCAGAGGTAATGTGGTTAAGAAGTGAAAGGTATTTGGTACAACACAGACCCTCCCTGGATGAGGACATTGCTCCAAACTGGATGAAGGAGCCAGGAGGAAACTGGTCAGAGAGGCTACCAAGAGGCCTACAAAAACTCTGAAACAGTTGCAGGAATTTATGACAAAGAGTTATCATTGTGTGCATGTTACAACAATATCACAAATTCTCCACAAATGTGGCTTGTAGGGGAGGGTTGCAAGAAAAAAAGCCACTCCTCAAGAAATGCCACAAGAAGTCACTGCTGAGCTTTCCAAAAACGCACCTAGAAGATTCTAAGGCCACATGGAGAAAGGTTTTATGGTGAGATTAGACTAAAATTGAATTATTTGGCCTCAACACTAAAATGATATGTATGGCAGAAATCCAATACAGCTCACCATCCAAATAACACCATTCCTACAGTAAAGCATGGAGGAGATAATATCCTGGTATGAAAGTATTTCTCTGCAGCAGGGACTGGAGCACTTGTCAGGATAGAAGAGAAAATGGATGGGGCAAAAGACCATCAAATTCTTGAGGAAAATACGCTGCCCTCTGCCAGAAAGTTGTCAGTAGGAAGAAGGTTTACCTTCCAACATGACAGTGACACAAAGCACACAGCAAAATTGACCACACAGTGATTGGAAGAGAAAAAGGGGAATGTCCTTGCATGGCCTAGTCAGAGTCCAAACTTAAACCCCATTGAAAATCTGTGAAAAGACTTGAAGACTGCTGTCCACAAATGGTCACCATCAAATTTAACTGAACTGAAGCAGATCTGTAAAGAAGAGTGGGCAAATACTGCATAGTCTACATGTGCAAAGTTAGTAGAGACATATCCCAACAGACTAAAGATTGTAAGTAAAGCAAAAGGTGGTTTAACAAAATACTGACTTTTTCATTTTCACTTGGATGTTATAAGTTGCACTGAGTAAATAGAGCTGGATAAAACAAAAGCTGTGTCTGTCTTCATTTCAGGCTGCAAAGCAACAACATGTGATTATTTAAGGGGGGTGATTATTTTCTATACCCACTGTATGTCTTGAGGAAAGAAGTGTTAACTCTCACATATGGAAATGCTTCTTCACAGTAAGAGCTGTAAAAATGTGGATTAAGACTCCTCCAAGAACTAGTTCTGGCCAGCTCAGTGAATTTTTTTTAAAGAGCTGCATATGTTCCTAAAAGCTCAAAAATAACTGGATGTTAATGTTTATAGCTAATAAAACCAAAGATGCAATCCAGGGAATATTTTATTGCCTTCTGGAGAATCTGGAATTAATTTATTTTTCCCCTGCTGGAGCAAATTGGATCATGCTTTATAGGGGTTTTTGGCCTTCCTCTGGATCAGCTGATGATACAGGAGTCTGTATATGGAGGTTTTAGGTTTATTTATTTGAATCATTTTTTGGATTTCTTTTTAGTTGAATTAGATGGACTAGTGCCTTTTTTTCAACTTGACTAATTAGGCAATTATTGTTGACATAAACTCACACATTTATGCAACATGACATACACTTACTTTTCTGCCAGTCTTGCGCACCAAGGCTTTGGAGATAGACTGAAAGTTTGACTTACTACCAAATAATCCATGAAGCAAGACCAGAGGTGGTGCATCTGTTTGGCCTTCATACAGGTCATAAGATAGGGTGAGGACTCTGTAAGAGATAAGAAATTTGTGATATAAATGAGTGAGAGGGAGCTGGACTTACCAGAACTGTGTGACTACAGACACACACAGCCCACATTGGGAGCATGCCAATACGGGTTCCCCCTCAGTACATGACTTGCTACGGGGGCACCTGCAGGAAGGAGGAGAAGAGCACTACCGGGGGACTCCAGAAGAGAATGTAAGGGACCACTCTGTGCAATACCGCAGATCAGGTAAGTATAAAATCTATTTCAATTTAATGAAAAAAAAAATGTATACTTTACAACCCACTCTAATTGAAGAGATTCAGGACAAGCCTTTCCATTAAAAATAAGTAATGTGCTAAAAGAGCTGTGTGATTTTAGCCAAGTTTACAAAGAAAAACAATGGTTACACTTACCGGTAATGGTATCTTCCATGATAGCTACTTGAGAGATGTTTGGCTCCACCTTCAACAAGGAACACAAACCAGGTTTGTGTTATGAGTAAAAATCCTCCACCAATTTACATAAACAAATTTTTTAGGTAAAAATGCAATAATTTCAAACACCATCACTTTAAACTAAAAATATCTGGGTGGGAATATGAATGATGTGCTGAGAGATTCTCGGAAATACCATTACCGGTAAGTGTAACCATGGTTTTCCCAAATCATCTTCCAGGACAGCTACTTGAGAGGATAAACAAGTAAACATACCTTAGGGAGGAATTAATGCTTGTAACACCTTCCTTCTAAATGACAAAATGGACATTTCCACACAGTAGCACTTCACAAAAGCATGGCTTGAGGACCATACCGCAGTCTTAAGAGATTTCTTTATAAAATGGACTTGCCCTCTTTGCTCCTGATGCAGCCATCAACCTTTATGAGTGAGATCTAATTCTAGCAGGTGGTAATGGTAACTGACTAAAACTAATGTATGCTGAAATAATAGTGTCTCTAATCCATCAGGCCATGGGACACTAGGAGGCACTTAGCCCTAGAGGGGACCACTATATAAGACTAGATGTTGGGTAGATTTCATGCCAATCTAATTTACAGAAAACCAGAAGGGGCCACCACCTGCACCTTAAGGGTACAGGGCAACTACCCTTTTCTCGAGAATCCTCCTCTCAGCTTCCAAGCCATTAGGCAGAAGATCAGAGAATTTGGCTGTCCCTGTGATAAAAAATACAAACATTTCTGTAGAATCCACCAGCTTCCAGACTCAGCTCACTTTTGGACCCATAGGGCCATCAAAACTACTTTTACTTGGTTCGGGATGATCTTCTTGATTATTAGGAGTAGCAAAGATTTTTGGGGGGGGGGGGGGGGGAAGCATACCCCAACCCAAACCACCTTTAAAAGCATTAAGTTCCAGTGGGGTGACTGTTTAAAGTGGTAGTAAATTCTGCCCCTCAAGTGCTCCTTCTCAATGCAGCCAGTATAATAAAGCTTTCCATTACATGCTGCCTGATTAGTGACCCTTTTGGATGTTTCTTACTTTTATTTGGTGTGCTTTTTTTTTCCCCCTTCCTGTCCAAAGCCAGCGTCATGTTAGGTATTGTCTTCCGAGTCAGCAATGGTGTGGACTTCTGCCCTGTTTCTCCCTGCCATAATATCTCACAAGCCCAGTGAGTTTCTAGCCAAGGCTAGTTTTTGTTCCGGATTATTATGGCAACCCTGTCCGCCATAATGAAGCACAGCACACCTGCACTTATTTCACTCCACAATTGAGGTACTAATAGAAGAGGAACTAAAGATACAGTCTGGATTCAACACAGGTGGATCTTCTCGTTCCTGTCCCTTCCTATGCACCGATGTTTACACCCCCTGTGATGTTGCAAGACACGTGGTGTAAACAGAAAATTCTGAATGGGTCTGTACTCTTGTGGGCTTGCAGAGAATCACAGCATGTTATTAAAAGGACTAAGGGCAAGATAAGCATGCTGTAAACGGGACAATTTGCGCATGCGCAGGTGACATCATAGTAGTGAACAGTAATGGTTGCAAGGAAGGTAAGCAGAATAGAAGAGATTTAAAGACAGTGATTTATAGAGTATGTGTTGGTTATTTAAATTACAAAAAGTGAACTGGGAGAGTTTACTACCACTTAAGAGACTTGCTGTCTGTACCCTGCACACAGACAGAAGTATGTCCTCCACTCCTGCAGCCTGTAGTATTGACTGGTCCAATGCCACCCTGAGGTCAGCTCCTTCTGGCAATCAGAAGCCAGAATAGAGCAGTGCCAAAGCGTGGACGCCCGTACTTCTAAGAGGCAAGGTGAAAGTGTACATATTGTGTATCAGAAGTGTATTATCTGGTGCTGGAACAGAGCTAGAGACATCTTGGTCTCCCTCTGGCTAGTATACAAAGGATCTGCCCAGAGGCGCTACACTGCCAGCAAAATGCAGTAAGAATTACCCCCTTCAGGAGGGACGACAACCACCAGTGTCACCACAGCATCAAAAGGAGCAGGCCAAAGAAAGCATCGGGCCACCGGAGTTGCCTGCATCAGTCAAGACTAGCACGTTTTAAGGGAAAAAACCCTCAGGTAAGCAACTTTACTAGGAGCACAGGCACACCAGGACCTATTCAACTAAAGAGGGGGGGGGGGGGGGGTGACATCCACAATTATCACTGCCAGGGGAAACAAAAAAAAAACAAAAGACAGAACAACTGAGGATGAGGAGGAGGGAGGGGCTTTTAAATCTCTTTCAGGTTTGCGTTGCCTGTTGAAGATGGAGCCAATCATCTCTCAAGTAGCTGTCCTGGAAGATGATTTGGGAAATGTGTCTTATCCATGGCATCTTTGCCCTCTGTTATGCTGTCATGACACACACAGTTAATGAAATATACAGTCATTGCCTGCTGTGAGCACGACAGACATTTCTTTTGATGGTCATGTATCTTTTCTCAACCTATGTAACCACAGAACTGAATCAGGCCTACAAATAAAACTCCAGTTCTGCCTTGGCTCTCAATTCATAGCCCAGTTGCAATAGGGCTTGTACACTGCTGCAGTCATTTAGTGGTATGGAGTAAAGCATTTGCATTACTTTTGTAGTGGTATGGCCCTTTAAAAAGCCCTGAACCAGATTCCAAAAGCTCTGCTGCAGGTTTTGGTAGCATGACCAACACGTGCAACAGAATCAAGTAGTTCTTAAACCCTCCTATCCTTTTCAGCCACGGAAGCTGTCATCGTAACCTCTGTTTGATCTGCAACTGCCATTGTGCTGCACATGTGATCAGTTATGACACCAGCCGTTTGATAGTTTGATTAAGAACATAAGAAATGTGTCAGTTAGCATTCCTGGCATGCCAGGAATTGAACTGTTTTTTTTAAACTGATAAATCAAAGGGTTTTGTTCCACTTTAACCCTAGGTTCACATCTGTACGGGGGTGGTGCTGCTGCGGATCCACATGAAAATCCGTGCAGCCATGTAACGATCCCACGATCGCTGCCACCAATATGTGACGATCCCACAATCGCTGCCACCAATATGTGGCAAAGGCAGCGTCAAACCCCCGACCTTCTTACCAAACTCGTGACCGAAGGACTGGCCAATCTAAAACCGCGATGTCACGTGCGTAACAATGCCACACCCAGCTGCACCCTGCACAACGATTTTCCAGCTAATAGGACCACAATCTATGTACCGGCAGCCTGAATGCGATTGTTACTTGGGTCAGGTTAATTACGCAATCAACCCTTCACACTGCCACCACCTCCTTTTTGTACAGAGAAAGAGGAAACTTGGCGATATCAGCTATAACACTATAATGGTCAAAAAAGGTCAAAGGGTGCAATAAAAATATTTACAGAAAAAAGATCTAACCAATATATCTATATAAATATACAGAGAGCAACAGCACAGCAAAGCAATAACAGAAAGAAGTTAGAGGGTTAAATTACTTGCCAAAGTCCTGGGTTAGCAGATCAAGTTTCAGAGCGAAAGGGCGGTCTCCCAAGTTGGTTCTGAAGTTAAACGAGAGAATTCTTCAACTTAACTTTCTTAGGCCTGACCGCTCATTTTGTAGTTCCCCAGCAGGGGGTGTCTCTGACGTCAAGGACCAATACCCTGTTTAGGGCGGGAAGGTCTGGGCATAGACCTAAACTAGAGCCAAAATCTCTTGTAGTTCATATTTTGGTTTATAACTTTCCATATGCACAAGTGACACTCCACCCGCGGGTAGATTATTATGCAGACACGTCTGAGGATTGATTAGATATGAAATATGAAATTCTACACTGAATGGTTCACGAGATCTACTTTTCTGCTTTCCTATGTATTCCAGCCAAGAGTGACCTATCAAACTGTTCGTCTCCTCTTGGCCAATCTGACGATATGCCTGTGTGACGGAGCGTAGGCAGGACAGAACACACAGAGTGGATGGCAAACGCACAAAGCTTTATTGAGACAAACAGACGGCAGTTCTTCAATAAGGGGGGTGGCAGAGAGAGTGAATTTGCCACTAAAAGGTAATGAGGGTGCCCCACCCACTTATAGTCCACCAGGAGAGCCAAGGGGGTGTCCCTGTAACAGAGGTAGTCTGACAAAGGAGGGGGGTGCGAGGGGTCACCACAGCAACAGTTCAGGTAACACAGGGAGGAAGCAGGTACTCAGGGATCCAACAGGGTGCCTGGTCTCCCAGGGATAGAAACGGAACACAGGTACCTGTGGAGTCGGGATAAGGTGGTTGGTCTCTGGGAATGGCAGGCAGGCTGTGATAGTTCTCTCCCCTTCTGTGAGGTCTCTGGCAATGACAGGCAGGCTGTGATAGTCTCTCCCCACTTCTGTGGGGTCTCTGGCAATGGCATTCAGGCTGTGATAGTCTCCCCCCTTCTGTGGGGTCTCTGGCAATGGCAGGCAGGCTGTGATGGTCTCTCCCCCCTTCTGTTGGGTCTCTGGCAATGGCAGGCAGGCTGTCTCTGGCTGTCTCTCCCTTCCTGTGGGGTCTCTATGAGGCTGGGGGGTGGGCTTGCAGAGTCTAGTCACAAAGGTCCCGCCGTAGCTGGGGATCCTTTGATGACTGCACAACGGAATGCACCCGGCACCAGCCTCTTAAGCTCGTGCGGGACGGTTCCCGGTCGCCTTGGCAACCGAGGCCGGGCCGGCGTGCCTTGTTGCCCCCTGGGCAGGGGTCGTGCTCTCATGAGCGCGACCTCTGTACAAGGACATCTGCAAGCGCGGGAGCTCTGCATGCCCACGCTGCGGATGTCAGGGCTGAGATGGCATCAGCTAGACGCCGGAGCTCGGAGCCATACCTTCGGGAGGTTCGCACTTCTCCGGGGGAGAGGTGTGAATCTCGCCACCTCCTCCCTACCAGAAGAGGAAGAGACAGGACGGGGTGGTGGAAGTCTCACCTCTCATCCCGTAGCGGCAGGATGAGGGGGAGGGGGGAACACTAGACCCCAGGGATGAATCAGGCTGGTGACAGGGACATCCTGGGGGCAGGGATGATGTCGGTCTAGATGAAAGGCAATTTGGGAGGTGGGCGGCGAGCTGGCAGCAAGCTGGCCGGGAGGGAGGGGGGCCTACAGTAATTGAATTAGGCCACTGAGTTAGGCCATTTGGCCAAGTGACACAGGGGACAATTGGAACGATACAGAGCAGGATGCTGAGGGCATGTGATACAGGGCATTAATAAGGGGATTTATAATTGGCAGGCCCTTATACCGTGACAGCCTGGTTTTTATGGAAGTCTCTCATATTCCAAGATGAGACATAGGGGAAAAATGGATTTTAAAAGTGTTTATCTGGTTCTTGCTTCGTTGGAATGCCTTGAACTCCTGGGAAGGTTTGCGTTATCTTTTACGAGGTGTGATATTGCACAGCTCTCTCAAACAACCAGGCACCTCGAGGCTCCCTGCTGGGCTCTGGCCTGCCTGCAACACTTCCAACACACATATGTCCCTGTGGATTAACAGAGATTGAAGGGGGAGAATGAGGGACAACATGGAGATTTCTTAACAAAATGGAGGACTGCGTCAGTCTCTGGGTGTACGATTGCGACAAGCCACACCACCCGCAGAGAGAATTGCACATATTTGTGTACCATCGGTGTGAAGAGGTTAAAATAACAATTCTTTCTAGTTTGACGAAAATAGAACTGGAGGTGATTAAATTGGAACTAAACCCTCATATACTTTACAGCCAAGGAAGCTGCCATCTTAGCCTCTGTTTGATCTGTAGTTGCCACAGTGCTGCACATGCGATCAGATACCAGCCATTTGGTAGCTTGACAGTTCAGTTGAAATCCAACATAAGTACACTAGTAACTGTGAAAGTTATCACCAGTGGCATGTCTAGAATGTAACCGTTTTGGAAAACCCAAAAAGTTTGAATCAGATACCGTATTTTTTGCTCCATAAGACGCACTTTTTTCCCCATAAAAAAGGGAGCAAAATGTCAGTGCGTCTTATGGAGCGAATATAAAGAGGCCGGTCCGGTATTTCTGCCGCCACCATGTCAGAATACCGGGCCGGCCGCTCAGCTGTTCTCTCCTGCAGGGCCTTACCTGTTCCTCGCTCCAGCGCTGCAGTCTTCCCGCGCTGGCTTCTGTGACAGCTGGGTGCCCACTGCGCATGTGCTGCGCTTTGTGAATGATCTGGTGTCTTCTGGGACACATGACAGGTCCCAGAAGGCGCCGGGCCATTCACAAAGCGCAGCGCTTCTCGCGCATGCGCAGTGGGCACCCGGCTGTCACAGAAGCCGGCCCGGGAAGAAGAAAGAAGGACAACTCCGCGGAAGTGGGAGCAGGTACCTGTCAAATTCAGGTACCCGCTCCCCCTCCCTCCCCAAAGGTCAGCAGTCTCTGGTCGTCCCCTGCACTGTGTCCGCAGTCTCTCTGGTCGTCCCCTGCACTGTGTCCGCAGTCTCTCTGGTCGTCCCCTGCACTGTGTCCGCAGTCTCTCTGGTCGTCCCCTGCACTGTGTCCGCAGTCTCTCTGGTCGTCCCCTGCACTGTGTCCGCAGTCTCTCTGGTCGTCCCCTGCACTGTGTCCGCAGTCTCTCTGGTCGTCCCCTGCACTGTGTCCGCAGTCTCTCTGGTCGTCCCCTGCACTGTGTCCGCAGTCTCTCTGGTCGTCCCCTGCACTGTGTCCGCAGTCTCTCTGGTCGTCCCCTGCACTGTGTCCGCAGTCTCTCTGGTCGTCCCCTGCACTGTGTCCGCAGTCTCTCTGGTCGTCCCCTGCACTGTGTCCGCAGTCTCTCTGGTCGTCCCCTGCACTGTGTCCGCAGTCTCTCTGGTCGTCCCCTGCACTGTGTCCGCAGTGTCCGCAGTCTCTCTGGTCGTCCCCTGCACTGTGTCCGCAGTCTCTCTGGTCGTCCCCTGCACTGTGTCCGCAGTCTCTCTGGTCGTCCCCTGCACTGTGTCCGCAGTCTCTCTGGTCGTCCCCTGCACTGTGTCCGCAGTCTCTCTGGTCGTCCCCTGCACTGTGTCCGCAGTCTCTCTGGTCGTCCCCTGCACTGTGTCCGCAGTCAGTCTCTCTGGTCGTCCCCTGCACTGTGTCCGCAGTCTCTCTGGTCGTCCCCTGCACTGTGTCCGCAGTCTCTCTGGTCGTCCCCTGCACTGTGTCCGCAGTCTCTCTGGTCGTCCCCTGCACTGTGTCCGCAGTCTCTCTGGTCGTCCCCTGCACTGTGTCCGCAGTCTCTGGTCGTCCCCTGCACTGTGTCCGCAGTCTCTGGTCGTCCCCTGCACTGTGTCCGCAGTCTCTGGTCGTCCCCTGCACTGTGTCCGCAGTCTCTGGTCGTCCCCTGCACTGTGTCCGCAGTCTCTGGTCGTCCCCTGCACTGTGTCCGCAGTCTCTGGTCGTCCCCTGCACTGTGTCCGCAGTCTCTGGTCGTCCCCTGCACTGTGTCCGCAGTCTCTGGTCGTCCCCTGCACTGTGTCCGCAGTCTCTGGTCGTCCCCTGCACTGTGTCCGCAGTCTCTGGTCGTCCCCTGCACTGTGTCCGCAGTCTCTGGTCGTCCCCTGCACTGTGTCCGCAGTCTCTGGTCCTCCCCTGCACTGTGTCCGCAGTCTCTGGTCTCCCCTGCACTGTGTCCGCAGTCTCTGGTCCTCTCTGCACTGTGTCCGCAGTCTCTGGTCCTCTCCTGCACTGTGTCCGCAGTCTCTCCTCTCCTGCACTGTGTCCGCAGTCTCTGGTCTCTCTCCTGCACTGTGTCCGCAGTCTCTGGTCCTCTCCTGCACTGTGTCCCCTGGTCGTCCCCTGCACTGTGTCCGCAGTCTCTGGTCGTCCCTGCACTGTGTCCGCAGTCTCTGGTCCTCTCCTGCACTGTGTCCGCAGTCTCTGGTCCTCTCCTGCACTGTGTCCGCAGTCTCTGGTCCTCTCCTGCACTGTGTCCGCAGTCTCTGGCCATCTCCTGCACTGTGTCCGCAGTCTCTGGCCATCTCCTGCACTGTGTCCGCAGTCTCTGGTCATCTCCTGCACTGTGTCCGCAGTCTCTGGTCATCTCCTGCACTGTGTCCGCAGTCTCTGGTCATCTCCTGCACTGTGTCCGCAGTCTCTGGTCATCTCCTGCACTGTGTCCGCAGTCTCTGGTCATCCCCTGCACTGTGTCTGCAGTCCATTGGTTCAGAATATTTTTTTTTCTTGTTTTTCGCCTCTAAAACCTAAGTGCGTCTTATGGTCAGGTGCATCTTATGGAGCAAAAAATACGGTATATGTATCTGTGTTTTAATTGTTTTTAATCACTTTTCCACCGCCTAATGCAGAAATACCACTACAGAGCAGCAAGGCTGCGCAAAATCACGTATACGTAATTTTGCACTTCTGCGCCCCCTACCCACGTCACCACTGGTGGCTACAGCTGTCGATCACCAGGTCCTGGCCAGTGGTTCCCCACCGGCAGCCGGCGATCACCGAGTATCACTGACAGGGGAAAGAACTGTATTTAAACAATACAGATCTCTCCCGTCAGCTCCTGCACACTGCTTTTGTTTTGCTTCTTGTAGGAGAGCAATACAAAGCAATGGGCTGACACAGTGAAAGACACACACAGCACACAGTAAACCCTTTGATCGCCCCAGATGTTAACCCCTTCCTGCCCAGTGCCATTAGTACAGTGTTAGTGCTTTTTATTAGCACTGATCACTGCATTAGTGTCACTAAGGATGTCAGTGGCAGTTAGACAGTTCCCACCCAGTGTCAGAATGCCCACCGCAGTCCCACTATAAGTCGTTGATTGCCACCATTACTAGTAAAAAAAAAAAAAAAAAAGAAAAATTCCAGTATAGATACCACCATTTGTAGATGCTAGAACTTTCACGTAAACCAATTAAATTTGCACGTATTGGGATTGATTTTAGCAAAGACATTTAGCAGAATACATTTTTGCCTAAATTTGATTTTTTAAATTTTTTTTACTGGACATGTCTAATAGCAAAAAGTCAAAAACATTGTTTTTTTCTCAAAATTGTCTTTTTTTTGTCTTTAGTGCAAAAAATAAAAACCACACAGGCGATCAAATACCACTGAAAGAAAGCTCCATTTGTGAGAAAAAAATGACATACATTTCATTTGGGTGCAGTATTGCATGACTGCACAATTGTCACTTAAAAGAACGCAGCGCCGTATTGCAAAAATGGCCTGGTCAGGAAGGGGGGTAAATCCTCTGGAGGGTAAGTGGTTAATTCTAGATTTTCTTCTGAGTTCTTTATTTGCTCTAAAACATCAGGTGATCCTGACAGTTCTCCTTTGTATCCATTTCATTCTGACCATACCTGTGCTAGCCCATGCCGTACCTATATTTCTGGAGTCAGTTTAGTCGCCACACCCCCTGCTCAGGTCTCCTGAGGTGTTTGACATCGGCTCCCAGCAGGCTCCTTGCTGTCAATGTGCAGCTGCCCATAGCCAATACAAAGACAGGTAAAGTACTTCCATACAGTGTGCCATCATCCGCTCGCTTTATACATGCCTTCCGTGGAAGAAGGATTGTCGGGAGGCTGAATGGTCTAGTGACAGTTGAAAAAAAACCCCATAGAAATAAAGGTACCGTATTTGCCGGCGTATAAGACGACTGGGCGTATAAGACGACCCCCCTACTTTTCCTGCTAAAATGTAGTGTTTGGGCTATACTCGCCGTATAAGACTACCCCTCTTCCAATGCACACCAGTGGGAGGAATAGTGCCCCATCATTGATGTCAGTGGGAGGAATAGTGCCCCATCATTGGTGTCAGTGGGAGGAATAGTGCCCCATCATTGGTATCAGTGGGAGGAATAGTGCCCCATCATTGGTGTCAGTGGGAGGAATAGTGCCCCATCATTGGTGTCAGTGGGAGGAATAGTGCCCCATCATTGGTGTCAGTGGGAGGAATAGTGCCCCATCATTGGTATCAGTGGAAGGAATAGTGCCCCATCATTAGTATCAGTGGGAGGAATAGTGCCCCATCATTGGTATCAGTGGGAGGAATAGTGCCCCATCATTGGTATGAGTGGGAGGAATAGTGCCCCATCATTGGTGTCAGTGGGAGGAATAGTGCCCCATCATTGGTATCAGTGGGAGGAATAGTGCCCCATCATTGGTATCAGTGGGAGGAATAGTGCCCCATCATTGATGTCAGTGGGAGGAATAGTGCCCCATCATTGGTATTAGTGGCAGGAATAGTGCTCCATCATTGGCATTAGTGGCAGGAATAGTGCCCTATCATTAGTATCAGTGGAGGAATAGTGCTCCATCATTGGTGTCAGTGGGAGGAATAGTGCCCCATCATTGGTATCAGTGGCAGGAATAGTGCCCCATCATTGGTATCAGTGGGAGGAATAGTGCCCCATCATTGGTATCAGTGGGGGGAATAGGTGCCCCATCATTGGTATCAGTGGCAGGAATGGTGCCCCATCATTGGTATCAGTGGCAGGAATGGTGCCCCATCATTGGTATCAGTGGGAGGAATAGTGCCCCATCATTGATGTCAGTGGGAGGAATGGTGTCCCATCATTGGTGTCAGTGAGGGGTGGAATGGTGTCCCATCATTGGTGTCAGTGGGGGGTGGAATAGTGCCCCATCGTTGGTGTCAGTGGGGGGTGGAATAGTGCCCCATCGTTGGTGTCAGTGGGGGGGAGGAATAGTGCCCCAATAGTGCCCCATCGTTGGTGTCAGTGGGAGGAATAGTGCCCCATCGTTGGTATCAGTGGGAGGAATAGTGCCCCATCATTGGTATCAGTGACACCAATGATGGGGCACTATTCCTCCCACTGAGACTTGCTGACCCTGTTCTCGTATGGTGCTGCTGCAGCCAGCATATGTGGTTGCAGCAGCACCTCTACACAGAACACTTACCTGCTGCTCCGGCACTCAATTTTCGCGGGGCCGCTCGGCTCCGCCCCCTCGCCGGTGATTGGCCGCCTGTGTGCCTTTCCTGAGCTACAGTTCTGGCGGCCAATCACCGGTGAGGAGGCGGAGCCGAGCAGCCGCACGAACATCCAGTGGCCGAACTGAAGGAGACGCCGCGCTTCCTGGACCGGATCGTCGTGGGACTGGATCCAGGTAAGAGACATCAGCCCCTGCAAACCCCTGTACTTAATGCCGCAGCCCCCCTAACATGTGTACCGGCGTATAAGACGACCCCCGACTTTTGAGAAGATTTTCAAGGGTCAAAAAGTCGTCTTATACGCCGGCAAATACGGTAAATAAAAAATATTCCTTATAAAAGTAAAACAGTTACACTTACAAATGCTCTTTCAATTGCCTGTATAGCACTGTGTTCACAAATACTGTAAAGTGGAACTTTCCCCATGACAACTTGATAAAAAAAATAATGTGCTACCAAAATTACAGTGTGCTGTAAATTGCCTCCAGCAATGTTCTTGTTTCTTCTTGCTGAAGGATACCATTTTGCTGACACCCAAAGCCCCTAAAAAGCAGTAAACCTTTACGCTGTCAGCAGATAGGCCACCCTAAAAACAGGTGGAACATGTAGCATGTTCCAAAGGTGAACTTATCCTGTAATGTTTTACATAGTTATATCTGCAAAGGGGACAGCCTGAGACAATCTAGAAGGAATTAATTTTCTGAGTAAAGTTCCACTTTAAATCAGTGGGTTTAGTTCTGCTTTTTTTACTCTAATGCATGCTATTAGTTACACCCCGGTCACATCAAAGCAGATTTTGAAATCATGCGACTTATAGTGAAATCGCACAATTTAAAAAACGGGTGACCTGCTGCTTTTATTGAGATCTGCCAGACATCTGACACAGATGTCTATGCGAATCGCAACAAAAGTAGTGCATGCACTACTTTAGAAATCGGTCTGGCTCCAACCAAGTCAGAACTACACCGATATGACCGCTCTAATAGCGGACAATAAGGTGTGACTTGGCATACGATTTGCAAGTCACCTGGCATGCAAATCGCATGTTTAGTTGCACCTGATGTGACTGGGGGTACAAAACCTGCAAGCATATTTGGCTCCCACTGCTGTCAACCACAGCCAGTAAGGAGGGAGCTGGGGGGTGGGGGCAAGGCCATTCTGTGTGTCTTATGGACACACAGAGCCAGGTCAAAAGCAAGCCCACACGAATGCCCCCATAGCAAGT